GGGCAGATGCCTGTGGCCTGTCGGACGCGGCGCACATCGAAAGCCTGCAGGAGAAATCCCAGTGCGCCCTGGAGGAATACGTGCGGAGCCAGTACCCCAATCAGCCCAGCCGCTTCGGGAAACTGCTCCTCCGGCTGCCTTCGCTGCGCACCGTCTCCTCGTCGGTCATCGAGCAGCTCTTCTTCGTCCGCTTGGTAGGTAAAACCCCCATCGAGACGCTCATCCGAGACATGCTGCTCTCCGGCAGCAGCTTCAACTGGCCTTACATGTCCATCCAGTGTTCCTAGAGCACGACGCCTCGGGGCCTCCCTCGCCTAGAGACCCGGCGGACAGGCCTCCAGCGGCGCCATAAACCGGCCCAGTCCACCCCGGGGGCGCGCACACAGCTGGGTGGGGTGGGGTGTCCCGAGAGAGAGAGTGAGAAAGAAAGAAAGAAAGAAAAGAGGGAGAGGGAGAGGGAGCGAAAAGGAAAGGGAGGAAAGAAAGAAAGAAAGAAAGAAAAGAGGGTGCGAAGAGAGACAGAGACACAGAGAGATGTGTGTTATCTCAGAAACCCTTGAATTGGATGGACTCGCTTAGGATCAAACCCCTGGCTGAGAGGCGGAATGGCGCAATGAACACCTCCTGTGTGTGGAGCAAGCCTGAGACGGGGAACTCTGAACAATTTGTTTTAAAAAAAGAAAAGACCTAAGGAATTTTAATATAAACCCCCCACCACCCCCAAAAGAAGAATAGAACGGATTTTCTTGGATTTATGATGGACTGAGGTGGAGATCGTCTGTACAGCAAACAAAACACACAGTTTAAAACAAAAACAAATGCAGAACTGAAGTCGAATTGACTGGTGCAGGGAAGGGGCGGGAACGGGAGGGGGACCCACAGGCAAACACTTACCACAAACATTGTTCTTCATTTTGTAAAATATTAGGCTTTATTTTCACTTTTTTTGTAAAATTTAAAATATCATATGCTCATAAAGGAGAAGGAAAAAAAAACCACAAGAAACAAAACAAGAATTGGGGCGGGGGAGGAAATAACATTTTCCAAATACTTATTAAAAAAAACCAAGGAATTGTTCTGTGTGTATGTATCTATATCTGTTTTGTATTTTTTTTTTCTGGTTCCAAACCAGGCTTCCTGTGATTCTATACTAATAATTTTTGATATAACCCTTTGCTTCTTATAAATGAGTGCGATATATGTTGTTGAAGCTGTTCTTCAAGAATTAAAATTGAAGTGAGAATTTAAACATAAAAATAAAAGAATTTAGCAAAAAAAAAAATAAGAGCCCCAAACACACCATGAACAACAAAATGCCATGTGGGTCCATGAGTTTCTGTTCCTTGAAGCAGGACCCACTGTTCGAGTTTCTGGGCAAATGGTCAGGTTTTTTACTCCCTACACTGAGTCTTTTTGTAGGTTTCACCAGAACTTTAAGGGGTGGGAATGTTTTTTTTCCCAAACAAATAAATACACTGGCCACGGTGCTGGTGAGGTGTACGTATCTCTTGGCATTCCCAGGCTGTCTGGTGTTTATGTGAGTTTGATGATAAAAAGCAGAAGAAAAAGCTACGCAAGGACTGGGGAATGGAATCCTTTTAGCCTACTGATTGTCTCCAATCCTTCTGTGTGCATAATCTGGGATACAAATGGAAAAGAATTTACCAATACAGTACTTTGGAATGTCTTCCCCACCACCACCACCCGCTTCCCAGTTCTGAATTAACTCAACTGTTTTATTTAATTCCAATCCTGCACACCCATACAGAAACACACAAAATGCTGGGGGGGGCGGCGGCTGGGTGCCAGTGTCAAAGGTGGACATTTTAATCCTGGTACAAGATCTGGTTGTAAAGGGTAGTGCCTTTTACCACTAGTAAACTATCCTCATATGCCTTATCTTTTCTGTGTAGTTAGCAAGGGTGATGATTCTCTTTTGCTGAAGGGACTTGTGCCTACAAGAGAAATCAAGGGTTGGAAATGTGGTAGTTATGACTGTGTGTTAAAATGAGAGAGAAAAAGAGAGAGAGAGAGATGTTTGGTCATGTGTACATGCCCAAGGACACGCCTGTGCCCTTATTCTGGTGGGCACATGTAGGCCTTTCCTTGAATCCTAATGTTGTGTCTCCTTCAAAAGTCCCCCCTTTCTCTCCCCCCCATGCACCAGTCTTTCTCCCAGTGGAACCCCTTTTGAAGGTAAAGACTTTCCCAAGGTTTTGAGCTGGTTGCTGCCGATCTCTGTAACAGCTTTCAGCACATTAATGTTTTATAGGATCTCAGACAGAGCTGTAGGAACACACACTCTGCCAAGGGAGCGCTTTCTTAACGTATTAATAAAGCCAAATCTTTAAAAATAACACTCGCGGTCCCACCGCCACCACACCTCCCATTCTCCAGTCTCTCGCTAGACCTCCCATCGTTTCCAACGATGAGGCAGGATTTTCAATTGGAAAAGGCACTAGCAATGCCTCTTTCCTCTTAATTTGCTGTCTACACTCTCCCTCCTACGCAGCAACCCTCCGCCTTTTGAAAGGGGGGGGTGTTGCATTAACAAGAACCTTCAGTCCAACCCGCTTGGGGTATTTTTAATATTCTAGACGCAGTAGATCGGAGGAGAGAGAGAGAGAAAGAGAGCGAGCACATTTCTAGATGGTGGGCAGTTACAGCTGCATAATCACCACTGCCAGCAGGCAGAGTCTGTATGGACTACCTAATTTCAATAGGCAGGCTAGAAAATGCACACGTTGGCCTTTATTGGCGAAGAATCTGGGTTTGAGTGACCCGCTGCCAAAGCCTGGGGTGCCTCTAATTTTCAAGACAAGAAAGGGTAGAGTGCCAGCATCATCACAGGCCTTTTAGGACTAGACAATCCTTGGGAAAGCTGATGGGTTGATGATGCTTGGGAAACAGAAGCCCCCAAAGTGTTCTCTATCCATCAGAAGTATATGCATGGCAACAGCATCAGGGGTGGGAGGTGGAATTCAAAATAACATGTTTCACAGTTCACCCTCTTCATTTTCCCCACCTTCATTCATTTTTCAACTTTATGGAAGACAATAATACAAATCAATTTTATTTTTCAAAAATGCAAGAGAAAGAGAGAGGGAAAGAGAAAGAGGTAACTAACCAGGACTGAATAGACAGTAGGAAAGGACTATGTTTTTCTACAGTTGGGATTTTCCTCTGTCCTCAAACTTATCTGCCAAGTGCTACAAAACTCTGTCCTAGACTTGCCAATTTGCTTCAGGAAAATGCTTGTGCTGGGAATAGTTTGGCTCACAACAGCAGCAACATCTCAGCCCCTTGGGCTTTCAGGAAGGGACCCCAGGACAGAGGTCTGATGGCTCAGTGAAGCCCCTCCAAATGCTTGTTTAAAAGCCAAAACGTCCTCACTAGGTATTGAAAATTGGTCACCGCACACATCCCCAGCCCATCCAGCACCCAACTTCTACTGAAATGGATGCAAAGTGCATGATATTTAGTGTCTCAAACCAAAATGTTGTCTGCCTCTTTCTTAAGGGGTGTTTTATTCTTCTTTGTTGCATTGATAGGGGCCCTTCTTCCAAAAATAAAATTAAAATGGCCAGTTCTCAGCTGCTCCAGAATATGTCAACCACTTTAGAAAATCCTAAAATAAGCTTTCAACCACACTTTTTGCTTCCTCTCAAACTGACTGGGCCTTCTACGAATTCACAGCACACATTTGCACTCGTGATGCATTGTCTAATAGAACCAGATTTGAGGCCTACATGGAAATAAATCTTCACATTTTCTCAAACCCAAATAAACCAGGTGGTGGTCGTGGTGATGCCTTTGCACTGTAGAGACTTAAGTGCTTGCAAGCTGACAGTTGCATTAATCCTATAGAGCAAAAGTTTAAGATGAACCTAACGTAAACTGCATTAGAACCCACAGTACTTAATGGAATGAGGCCTTTGAATTGATGTTTAGTCACTAGATGGTTTTTACTTAGGTCTGGCTTGTAAATGGAGTACTCTCTAAAAGTCAAAGAGATTGGCTACCACCCCAGTCATAGGCATGGTGGATGGAAGTCAGTTCTATCAATCGGACTTGATTCCACCTAAAATACATAGGATTAATTTATGACTGGATTTCAGCTTTACTGGGTTGTACAGAGAGCCTTAGCAGTTTTTATAGCAAAAAGGTTGTCTCACTGGGCTGCAAAGTTAGTGATATGAGAGGGCAAGATATTTTTCACAATATCCCCAAATAATTGTGTTTATAAGAACCTAAGAGCCCAATTGTTGATAGCTTTGAGTTAGGCAAGAGGGAAAGAAAGAAAGGACAAGCTTTGTTGAGTCACACCTAACCACATGTCATAGAAGTGAGAGATTAATAAACGTTGTGGACTGAGTCCCGTCCATGTAAAAATACTGTACTCAGACAGAGATATTTAGCACAGTGAAGAGCTTTGAAGCAGAGGGTCATCCTTCTTGGCAAAAGGCAAATCTAGGTTGTTCCCCTCTTAGTTCTGAGTCATCAAGAAGAAAATAGAATTCATGGCTTTAATCCAAAGTCTCCGCCTTTTTGCCATGCATTTATCTCTTTAAATTATTAGAAAGTACCATATGAAAGTAAAAAAGGATCCAGTTTTTGCAGGCAACACATTCAGGGAGTGGGTGAGAACTTTACCTTTCTTTGAAGTGTTTGGAAAGTGTTAAAGATTTATACTGCTTTCTTGGAAATTTAAAAAAAAAACAAAAGGGAAAGAAAAAGGGAAATTGCAATGGAGAAAGCAGAAAGACATTTTCCCAAAGAATTAGCCACCGACTGACAGCTCCCTGACCCGCCTGGTAATTCTGGGCAAACAGTCATGTAGACCTTTCAGAACTAACTAACGAGTAGTCCTTTCAGAAGGTTGCTGTCTGGTGCATATATTTTACTTAAAAGCCAATCTCCTTGATCTGTGGTTTGAGACTGCGACATTGTATTTTATTAAAGGAGCCTAAAAGAAATGTATCTTCTTTTTTAAAAAAAGAAAAAGGAAGAAAAAATAAATAAGAGTTTCAGCTGTTCTGTCTTTGGACTTCTAGACGATCCTACCACCACCATGTTTGACTGCTGCTTTTGTAAGGGAAAGAAATCTTATTTTCTCCTCTTCTTCCTCTTCCAAAAAGGAAAAAAAAGACTGAATGAAATATGTTCTCTCTTCATCTGTGTCATCAACCTTGCTACCAGGAATCTGAGTGTAATTGAAAAGAGAAAAAGCAACCACATCCAGATGTTAAATGGAATATTTATTGAATTCTGCTTTGTAAACTGCATTAGGATTTTTAAAATGAAAAGTGGTCTTAACATGAATAAAATATTAAAGAAATAGAATATAAATATTTGTATAAATATAGTATATATAATATATATGTACAATTATATTTTATTTTTATTTTTAATGAATGGGTTGCCAGAGATTTCCTCTGACCTTACGATCCTGGAAGATTTTCGA